TCAAAAAGAGCATTTAACTCTTTATTGATACAGGTTTCATTCTCAAAAATGAAATGGGACTAGTTCACTGGAACAAAATGAAACCAATGGGACTTGATAGAATCCTCAGAGCGTTTTCTTTGGTGTATAGGACCCCAGTTCACCAGTGGGTGAATGGCATCATAGGGGGTAAAATATAAGAAGGATATAGACATCAAGTTTGTCACAAGTAATATAAAGAAAACTAGAATTAATTGAAAAATATCTCTACCATTGTATACCTTAGTACCTAAGGACCATAATAATAATCTTTCAAAGGCTCAGTGTTAATGCTTTTTGTATTAAAATGTAAGCATCTCCTGGGACAGCTTGCCTGATCTCAACTAATTACAACAAGATTGTGCTAATGGACCAAAGGAAATGTTCCTAGGAGAGTGTGGACCAAAGGAAATGTTCCTAGGAGAGTGGGCAGTTGAGTGTAACAGGGAGAGGAAGAGGCTGTGTGGAGAAAATGTAGGACACTTGAGAACAAGCCATCTGTTTCATAATTTCATGGGGAAACTTGCAATTTTATACTTCATTAAAAATTTTTGGTGTTTAATGTATGGGAGGCTGTATTGGAGCCCAGTTGAAAGAGTGGTTTATAAAATACAGTGCTTGTACAATTTTTTTACCTTGTTTGTCAGAATAAAAAAGATGTTCTGAAGGTCATCCTTTTCTCCCAGTATGATTATTTTTTATTTCACTAAAATCAGTTAATTTGGAAGAGAGTGAAACTTTCTGAGAACGAGTTGGGTGCAGCCTCATCAGGCAATCAGACACAAGATCAACACAGCTGTTGGGACTGCACCAGCTGGAAGATTCTCATCACAAGCCCGTCAGAGTGCAGGAGAAGAAAGCATGGTTGTCATGTGGGGTGATACCAGCAAGATTTATTAATTTACTCCTCTAAGAGATATTTAAAATCACTGCCAGGCTTCTTGAAGATTATAAAGCATTGAATTTTAATATAAGCAGGATTTGGGCTGTTCTAAAATTTCTTTCTTCAAATGCAAACACTGCTTTTCTTGAAAATGGGGCACATAAAATCTACTTTTTTTCTGAAAAAAACATACACCATACCACAAACCAAGATTTTGTGTATAATATATTTATTTGCATACAGAAATATGTATTTCTATGGTACATTTTATTATTGTATTTATAGTATGTATATATATAAGCATACAGCATATTCCAGATAGATATATTAAATATGCACACAGTTCATGCTACAGCGTGCACCCTTTTAAGAGAAGCTTTTATTGAAGGGGCATGGTATTGTATATACATGCTGAAAATACACAGGTCCATCCAGCTGTGGGTGCTTTCCTAATCTATTTGCAACACCAGTACTATGGTTGTTGAAAAGGATATTATTAATCTGGATAGGGGAGGCAACTATCAGTGAACTCAATAGAAGAAAACAAGTAGACTGCATTACTAAGTAACTGTTGCCATCATGTTGAACACCCATCTGTCAAAATGTCATCTCTTCAAGACCAAAAAGCAGCGAGTGGACAAAGGGCAGAGTACGTGGGACCTCCAGCTTCCACATGTCAACCCAGAGAGCTTATTTCTTGTGACTTATTATATTGACAACTTTGTCTTACAATAGGGATCTGGGATTAAATTAAGGATGAACTGGTGAAAAGTGAATTATTTCTTTTTTCAGGAAATGTACTGGTCCTTTTCATATTCTTAATCTCATCTTCTTATAAGACCACTCTGGGATATTTACATTATTGCTACGAGGAAAGAAGCAATAAAGACTTAACAGATATGGATGTTCCCAGCAAAAGCTAAGGAGACGAATTGTATTGTCTCATTATTCTGAAAAGAAAAATGGTAGCTTTGATACAAATTGACCATATGAACTACAAATATTTTTGATGGTTAACAACTGCAACCTTCTGACTAGACTCCATGACAATCACGATCAAACATTAAGATGTTAGAAATAATGAACTATATGCATGAATTGGTGACTTTGAATACATACATAGGACCTGTGTTCCCAGTCTTTGAATCATAAATACTCCAGAGTCAGTAGAGGAATGTTTCTTATATGTTGTTGATTAATATTACTTTTATTTTCCAACAGGTGAGCAATTTGCAATAATTTTCTATAAGTGAGATATTTCTCCACTCACAGAAAGTTAATTCTAGGAATTCCTTTATAAAAAAAAATGAGTTTCTTAGCCATGGCAGTATGTACATTTCAAAATAAATAAATTTAGTTTGGAGGGGATGGGAGCCTGTCCTGTGCATGGTGACCTGTTCAGCCGTATTCCTGGCCTTACCCATTAAATACAAGTGTCTTCCTCCAACTTATGGCAGCAAAAAATGTCTCTATACATTGCTCAAAATGCTAAATGTTCCCCTAGGGAAAAAAGGGCCCTGGTGGGGAGTCACCAAAATAGGCAAATCCAACAATAGTTAACATAAATTTTTGATACAGTTTCCATATTTCTCCAATCACCTTCAGTGTTCCTTCCATTTTTCTGATTCTAGTTTCCATGGTATGGCAGTCTCACTTGGATTCTTTTCTTTAATTTGGCAGTTTCTTTTTCAATGAAGTTGTGGTGGCTGGGGTGTATATCAAGAACAAAAGGAAGATGCATACAATGGCAATGGATAGTTAGATACAGTTTGACTCACATACTTTGGGTTGTTAGAGCAAACAAAACAGAAGCCCCTCATAAATCTTGGGATCCAAAGGGTTAATCCCAACTAAACTAAGTCTACATCATGGTGATACAACCAATGAAAAAGCGAACTAGTAGGAAAAGGAAACAAGGAGCCCATTGACTTGATGTTCTTTCCACTCAATTGATTTTAGCCAATGTGAAGAGATGCTATGTAAAAAACTATGTGAATTTAAAATGAAAAAGTTTACACTGAATTATTTATAGACAAAAATAATTATTTATAGACTAAAATAGCCCATATGAATGGATAATATGAAGTTACACATGAAATACTGGGTGGGGGTAGACAAATGGAATTGTTCAACCAAAGAGTTATTTTTATAAATAATGTTACCTACAATATTGTGGGAAATTTTCTTCTTATTAATTCACAACTTTTGTTGTTGCCTTTGTGCTTCTTCTTCTTCTTTTTCTTCTTCCTGTTCTCCTTCTTCAACTCTCCAAATTGATGAGAAAAGTTATATAAAATAACAGTAGTAAGTTCTAGGGTTTAAGGCTGACAAATTTGTCATGTAACTCACATGACCTACCACATCATATCGGGGCAAGATATTGTGTAGTCATGAGTCATAAATGCAATATATGACATTTGAAATAAAATTTACAAATTTAATTTCTATCCATTGGGTCATCTGTATAAAATATGATTGGAAGACTATAGAGAATAATGTATGAAAATATATGAAAGTTTAAAATAACTAATGAAATGTGAATCAATTTATACTACACTTTTTGTGCTACAAAATAACATGTTTGTACATGGACAAGTTTCATGTAATACCAGTATAATTATTCCTGACCTGACTTTTTTATGGTCTAGAATTAGTGAGAAGAGACAGGGAATATCCACCTACATTCTTCTGTCATGTTCGGAGAGTTTGTTGGTTAACTGCTACATTTGGATCACAAAGAGTACTTCAATTCTACTGAAACCAGAGAATTTTGTGTTAAATAATCTTAGGGAAAGTTGGCAAGTTGAGGAATATGAAATACGTACTTTCAGATAAGTATTTCTGATTTTTTTCTCCTTCCAACAGGTACTAGTATAGTTATGCAACCTAATTTGATAATAATTTGAATATCCACCATGATTGGGCAATGAATTGAAGATTTGACTCTTCTGAGACTAAGTAAACTAGCCTTGTTTAGAAATCTCAATGAAAAAAGCTGCTGAAAATATCAGGAGTTTGTATTATACAAGTTAACATTTCATACTTGGGTCAGGCAGATTCAGGTTCAAACAGAAAACAACTCTAACCTTCTATCTTCTCATCTCAAAATTCATCTGGCATCTGTACACTTTCTCCAGCTGGACTGTCCATTTTTTAATTTGAGGAAATCTCAACTTTAGGATGAATTTGATTTCTCAAGAATGTTTATGTGTTAGGGAGACTATTCTGTTAAAATAAAAGGCTACTGTAGAAGGAAATGTTCTACACATAGGATCATAAGTGAATTAAAGCCTTATAGAATTTCTGACTCCCAGGAAGGCCAAAGATGCAGTGAGGAGGGGTGAAGTGCCCGTGTTCCAGCTGTCTCTGGATGGATTGGATGAAAGTCCTACAGGTACTACCATTATGCCATGTAGAATGGACAAGTGCAAACCTAGACCATAATAAAAATAAATGGTGTCATCTAGATGGGTTCTTGTTTGTTTGCTTTGCATGGATGGAAAAAAGAGACAGGTGGGGAAAAAAAAAAGCGCTGATTGTAGTGTGGTCCTCCAAATAATATCATACTAAAAGAAGAGAATCTGCTTAACACTCTGGAGACTGTTTCTGCAGCCTTTTGGATTTCTTTTCTTCACTTGCCCATTGTATAAAGTCCATTTCTCTATACTGAAGTCTCCACATTAGTGTGTATTCTGGCATTTCGTCCTCACAGGGACACATGAGAACAAAAGGAAAGAGAAACAACAAAAATGAATAGGTTTTTCTTTTGTGCAGAGACTGACAGATTTGTAGATTCAGAAGCCCTTCTTCAAGAGAGTACGGCAGCCTAGATTGTTCCTTAAATGCACAGTTCCAACATGTCTCTTTTATTGTCTCGTTGCTCCTAAACTGACAGTGTTTATAAGGTGAAAGTTTTTTTTTTGTTTTTTTTTCAAACTGGAGCTATGGCATGAAAAGAGGGTCACTGTGGAGCTCCTTATTTTCCATTCCATAATAAGACCATAAAGTGCAAGGGCAGAGATTTTAATAGTAGGAGCTCTTTTATCCTCTTTATACTTCCCAAGCTCCCCTGACCATTTCCCTTCTTTTCAAAGGTGTTTTACCTTGTTGCACCTATGTTCTTGTAATGACACATGAGAAGGTGTTTAAAGGTCTTCTTGAAGGTGGCATTACACAGTGCGTAGCAGGCGGGGTTGATAGTACTGTTGATGTAACAGAGCCAATAACCAATGGTCCACACTGTGTTGGGGATGCATGGTGCACAGAAGGTGTTAATGAGCACCATGACATTGTATGGGGCCCAGGTGATGATGAAAGCCAACAGGATAGCCAAGATTGTCCTGGTCACTTTCTTTTCCCGGGAAGGAGGAGGCTTCTTCTTTGCAGGCTGCTTGGTCATCTTCACAATCTTGCGGGCTACAATGTTCTGTTTTTCTTCTCCGTTCTGACCAGAAGACCCAACTAGCTCCACAGTGGTATTAGTTGGCGCACAGGAGTCACCTTTTTGGGTCTTGGTGACAATTTTGATGCATGTTTGCTTCGAGTTCTCATCTTTGGAATGGCCCAAGGAAGTGGAAACTGTGTTTTCATCCTGGGTTATTTCATCATCTCTCATATTGGAAGCCACAGCACTGACCGAGGTGGAATCGTTGGAGCTCTCTTTCTCTTCCCCCTGGACGCAGTTCTCGGTCACAGCATCTCTGGTGGCCTTGCCATTCTGGATTCTGTTGTGTTCCAGGCCACCATCGTTGCCAGGCATGTTGTTATTATTTGGCTTCACTATTCTTCCTTGTACCAGACTTGGAGAAACTGGATCTTGGTTGGCCACGGGCTCCTTCTTCTCCTTCTTTATCCTGCTCTTGCTGGCTCGGGATATATGCCAATACAGCACAGTCATGATGATCACTGGCAGATAGAAGGCTGCAATGGCGGTACCAAAGGTGACGGCGGCATTGGAGAAGAACTGAATGTAGCATTCCCCATCCTCCACAGTTCTCACCCCTACAATGAACTGCCAGAAGAGAATGGCCGGAGCCCAGAGGATAAAGGACAGGACCCAAGCGGCTGCGATCATCATCCCTGCCATTTTCGTGGTCCGCTTAACGGGGTAGGTCAGAGGTTTGGTGACACAGAAGTACCTGTCAAAGCTGATGATGAGCAGATTCATGACGGAGGCATTGCTGACCACATAGTCCAAGGCTAGCCAAAGGTCACACACCACAGGTCCTAGAGGCCAGTAGCCGATCACAGTGTAGAGGGTGTACAAGTTCATGGAGAAAACACCTATGATGAGGTCAGCACAGGCCAAACTGAACAAAAAGTAGTTGTTGACTGTCTGGAGGTGGCGGTTGACTTTAATGGAAACCATGACCAGGATATTTCCAATAATAGTCACCAAGCTGAGGGATCCAGCCACAAGGACAATAAAAACCACTTCAAATGTCTTATAAGGACTGGTAATAGCCAGGCCATTATTAGAGGAGTTTGTTGAGTTGTTCATTTTGTGTTCAGTAGCCAAGTAGCCAAATCAACATTTAAGCCTGCAGGGAAATAGGATAAAATTAAGAATTATAACATAAATATGATTTAAAATACTTTAGATTTCTCTCTTTTGAGTTTTACTTCCCCCTACTGCCATCTTGCTTCTCCTGCATGATCATTGTGCCTGCCTGTATGAGCTCCCCACAAAAAGGTCAAAAGCTTCATAAGGGGGATTTAAGAGGTCCTCTCAGGGTGGCCATGAACTTGAAGGCCAAGAACATTTTGAATGTTTCCTTATAGGGATGTGAGGTACCTATCTATGTATCATCTTTTCATCTCACGAATCAAGTAAACAGAGCATAATTCTGATAAATTGAACTAAATACACCAAAGCTACCAAAGCATCAAAGGACTTCTAGAATGTACATACAGATTAATAATCCAGTGGGAAGACAATATTATGGGAGAAAGCATGAAACTGCATGTGTGGCTTCTCCAGTCAATAGCACCTGCCTCCCTGGTAGCTCTAAGCCTTTTTCATAATTATATTAAGGAGAGGGATAGTAAAGACAACATAATGATATTTTATTAATCAATATAATTCCCCCCAAAGAACAATTTTCTTTGACCTCTGTTTTATGAGGTCAGAAAAAATTGTTCTTTGAGGGGAATTATCACCTAGCATTAAAATTTCCAATATTCCATATTGCTTATTAAATGCATATTGATATAATTGTACCAATTTTCAGAATGTTTTTTTTTTCTTTCAAACCACTATGAACTCTGTTTTTTACTGTGCTTTCTGCTAAACCTTTTGCTTTGCAGAAAATGAAACCGTGGTCCAGAAAGCTGAGAAACTGGTATCAGGTCACATTTAGAATCAGTGACAGGGATGAGACTGTGAACCTGTTTGCACAATCCTTCATTTGTTTACCTCGTACTCATCCTGTGGAGCAGCTTCACTCCATTAGGCATTGCAATATAGTCTGAGCATTCGGTGATGATGAGGACAGGGTTCCTGCTTGTGAGAGGCATGAGTTCTGGCAGCTAAGATAGCTTGGATAGAGAATTGATTATATAAGCTGTGTGCACTCTCTGCTGCCTAACCCTGTTGCACTAAAGTAAATACATCATTGCCATTTTTCCACACAATTCTGCCAAAGTCTGATGACCACCAAGTGATCTTTCATAAGGGAGAACATATGGTGGCCTTTAGGACAGAAAGTTAAGAGTTCATCAAGAAATATGTTTCCGGAGAAAAGCATCTAAGAGAAAATGTAATCCAACTTCTGCCTCTTTTTGAAAAAAAATGCTGCGAGCTGTGTGTGTCAGAAAATAAGAATACTGAGAAATTATTTGGTGTCACTTCAAAATGCAGAAATCTCTATTGATTCTAAAACCACTTATTTCCAAGTAATGGTATGAGATTTAGTGGGGGCAGTGGTTTGCTCTTGAAATTCATGTAGAAAATTTTTTAAGTAGCTTCACAGCAGAAATAGCATTTGAACAAATGGTTTATTCTGCTTAAGAGAACAAATTATCTTCAAGCATTTTAATAATAAAAACCTTAATAATAGAGTAGGATTTTGACCCTAATAGATCAGATCATAAATTCAATAGCCATAAAAATATTCAGTAAGTACTGCATGCATCATTTTTGCAGAGAAAAATAAATTAATATAGAAAAAATATTTGTAAGCACATAACAGAAAATCGCCTATTTCCCTTAATACAAAATAGTTTGGGGGGAAAAATAAAGGAAAGATAAAAGACTAACAACCTAAAACACTGAAGTACAAGTTACATTAAAAAATAAATTAAATATAAGTGACTTTTACATATAAAAGAAATAGTCAACTTCATAATTTAAAAATAAAAACCCATATATATGAGGCTACAGTCTAGTTTTAAGAAAATATTTGGTGATTTCCATCAGAGGATAATGTATAACATTTACTTATAAAAGCAGGCTTTTGAAATCAACTGATTTGATTCTTTATTTGAAAGATTACAGAAAGCACTGGAAGAGTAAATAGGGGATTTGTCCTTGATTTTTTGATTCTTGTCATAATTGTTGCTAATTAATAATTATAATTATTATTATTGTAGAATTGATATTAACACAGTCATATAATCCTCACTCTGTCCTCTACTTATTTTTTTTTATTTTTTTATTTCCTCTCTTCTCACTCATCCTTCTTCTGTTTACCAGTAGCATGCATTTTTTTTCAATAGAAAAAATAATTAAAGGAAAATGTAGCCTTAGGTCTCCCAAACATGTACACCTTATAGAAATGCTAACAGCTATACAAATACACAGGGCAGATTCTATCACCCCCTTTATGTGAAGAAAATTGAAATTATAAAAAAAGGTTAAGAAACCTGTCCTTTCAGCCCAAGGCTGGTGAGCAAATGATTTACAACTAAACCTACCATCCTTCCCGGCAGGTTACTCTTTCCCCTTGAAAGAATTGTAATTCATCCAGTAACAAAGAAAACTGTTAGGCAGCAGCAAGAAGATGAACTATACCCAAAGATTTCTAGCTGATGGACTGTTATGGGGAACTTGGGATGCTTATTGAGGTAGAACACGTTGTACTAACAGAGTTAGTTACTATTTCATCCCCTAAAATTTTAGTTGTATTATTTTCTTAGTTCTGCTAATGCTCTGTGTAAAAATGGAAAACATTCTGCTTAGAAGCAGGCACAAGTATTTGAAGGGTGGCCTTCCTGTCTTCTAGTGTAAGCACAGAGTAGTTACGCATGTTCCTCCTCCATGAAAGAAAGCTTCCGTTCGTCAAGTCCATCAACCCCTCGCTGCTTCTTCTGTTTAAATTTCTACAAAAGCTTTTACTTCTAGTGTGGCACCACAGGGTGTCATTAAGGCAACAATAGTTACATCATTGATGAAACAACATAATCACAACAGACTAAATGATGAAGATGACCTTCAAAGGGCTCTGCATCTTAATATGGCAAGTGTGTAATAACCGTCCATCTGGTATTTTACAGTTTGTTTTCTGACTAAGTTCTGGAAGGGCTATGGAAACTGATGAGAAGAAAATTTTTCTGCCCTTAGTTTCTTTGCTACTTGAGTCCCTACACATAGCAGAGAGGAATGTAACTGTGATTCAATATTTTCTTCACAAAGTTATGTGTGCTAATCTCTGCTCTCATTTATTAGCTGGGTGACGCTGAACCTCTAAATCAAATTCTAAAACCTTAATTTTTTTTCTCTCAAATGGGAATAATAATCCTCCTTTTATTTCAGAGTGGTGGCAAGGCTTATAGTGACATAATGCCTTTGAACCATGATCTATAAATGTTAATATTAAAGAAATGCTAGTAATTTTCAAACCTGTCAAATGGGTATAAATTATTCACCTTTCCTAATAGCTAACAGAAAGTCATGTGTGTGTATGTGTCTTTGAACCATGTTAAGAGTGGGAAGGTGCAGGGTGTAGAGGCTGAAGTAATACTAAATTTTCATTATCAATGATATAAATTACTAATAACACTAGTACCAACAAAAATTATGATGATAAAACATTTAAAGGATAATAACTCTTCAGAGCAACTCATAAGGTGATTGGTATTTTTATTATACACCTTTATAAATGTTAAAGATCAAAGAATTAGGTTACTTGACACTCAAACGGAAGTCACCCAACTCTAGACTATGCTACAAGCACGGTCTAAGGACTGGTCTCAATAGTTAAAATCACTCACAAACACAGTGACCTGCCATACCTGAATCCTATACTCAAACATCAAGTTAGTATCTTGATGAGGAAAACTAAGTAAAGGTCATCATATCTGGTCAATATTGCAGCTTTGGGTGGAGATATTCACAGCAAGATAAAAAATCAGTAAGTGGAGTTCTGCATAAGAAAATATGTGATATTTGAGATTCAAAAAATTTTACTGAAAACCCATCAAAAACTGTAATTTTTGATTTGTAAGAGAGCTGGGAATGTAGCTCAGTGAGATAAGCAAGATATGCAAAATACCCTGGTTTTGATCCCAGCACTGGAAAGATAGCTATATGCATATATTACCATGTGAGCTGATAAATAGCCCCTCACAAAAACATACTGATGGCATACATTTTCTAAATACTAACAATAATGGATTTTTTTTTATGAATTGTTAAAGAGAGAATACTAATTAATTTTTTAAAATATTCTGAAATATATTCACAAGTTGATAATTAAATAAAATAAATGGGATTTTCTTCAAACCCTTCCCAGCTCAAGCAGCATGCCTAATGAACATATGAAGAACACTTACATAGGTGCATCTGTGGTATAGTAAGCTAACGACCTGTGAATAGCCTAAGTGCTAGACTTTTTTTTTTGCATGTCATTTCATTTAATTCTCACAATAACCCTAACATGATTATTATTCTCTTTTCCTGTTTTATAGATGATTATAATCAGAGAGTCAGCAACTGCTGGGGCCATGATTCAAATTTAGGTCTGTGTGACTCCTAGGAATACATTATTTCCACTAATGTTCTAACATGTAATAGAAAGTAAATCACAAAAAATGTGTTCTAGAGGAATTAGAAAGTCAAGGGGAAAAATGAATCTGTGATAGGAAATCATTAAATCTGGAGGGAGATGATATGTGATCGTAAAATAAAATTTAGAACAAGAAGGGAGTTTGGAAATCAAGAGGGACTTACATAAAGTTGAATTTATAATTGCTTATATTTCTTTAACTTTTGTTTTTAAAATGTAATCTTACTGAATACACTTCTAGTTTTTGCTGCCATTTGAACACATTATTAATAGTAGCAAGATGTTCTGGATGATCTTCCTCCATCTCTTTCAGCTATTGAGATCTAAAAAGCAGCATATTCACTGAGCAAACACAGTAACAGAATCATAAGCCTTGCCAGAGTTGCCTGAAATTCCCACAAATGACAGGGCAGCAATAAGATCATGTTAACCTTTAACTTATGGTTATTAGGACTAAATTTTTTTTTCAATCATATTATACTTAGGTATATAGCTT